AGTGATTATCTCATGTAAATAATAGCGACAATATCTTTTCTATAAAACACATCTGTTAAAAGATTCGGTTGTAAGATTTTAGCTTTTTATAAACACATGTTCCTGAACCAGCATCGCTTAGTGATGATAATTATCAAATATTCGCAGAAAGTTGTGTGGCGCCTGCTGTCGTACCTCAGACGCCCATCACAAACACACCATCCTTAACGATGAGATTAACATACACAACCACCAGCAGCGTCTTGACTAAAAGCCATATCCATACATAAAACTGTCAAAGGAAGGAATACGTTTTAATGATATTAATTGATTATACTTATTTCAAAGAATTTAAAGCAGAAACGTTATTAGCTAGCCTCAGATTTTCATTACCGTCCGGTAAATATGTAAATTCTCAGTTAACGTTATTTATGCAAATAGTGTACACAGACAATTCTTCAACTGGCAAGCCCAGCATTATTTCCTGGTAAGATACCGGTCATTTGTTATGGTGGTGGTGATGATAAATGTCTTAAGACTGTTCCAAAGCTTGCGGACCTCCTATCTTTTTAAGACATTTGTTTTTGATCAGTATCCCCCAGCATTCCCAAGACCTCTAAGCGACTAAATCATTTTGGATATTATGCGCCCGTGAAGATCCGGGATAGAATTGATCTTCAGCAACCCATGCTTGTCGTAAGAGGCGAACAACGGGATCGGGTGGTCAGACTCGCTGACTTGGTTCACACATGTCATCCTATTCCAATTGCGTAGATCGATGCTCATGCTGTTGATCACTGGATTGTCTGGTCCAGACTCGAATATTTATAGACCGCCGCCATATTGCTGGAATATTGCTGTGTGCGGGGTAAAACTTATCTCAGGCACTCACTTTTGGGATATTATAAAAGTTCATGTTACAATACATAACATATTTTATTCCCCAACACCCAACACACACACACACACGATTAATCTTACCCCGCCGTTCGATATCACACACAATTACTTCCTTACTGAAGTGTGTAATGCAGCAACCCGATATCCCTGTATCGCTTACAATTTTGAATAGTGCTTTCGTGTTTAAAACTCCGCCTGTCTCAACTGAGGTTGTGTCGATTTTAATCAGGTTTTGAGGCTAATCAGGCCAATGAGGTCCCATTGAAGACACAGTATTGATGAAACTTTAATACTGTAGAAACAGCACATGCTTTTAACACATTGCTGATTATAGGTTACGTTCAAATGTATCGAGATATGCAGCTCTTTTGGCCGTAAAATAATTCCCCTATATCATTCCCTTCCCAAGGATTCCGTTTTGGAACAAGTGACCTTCAACCTATGCTGGGATGGTGGGGTAGCCTAGTAGTTAAAGTGTTGGCTCGTCACGCCGAGGACCCGGGTTCGATTCCCCACATGGGTAGAATGTGTGAAGCTAATTTCTGGTTTTCCCAGCCGTGATATTGCTGGAATATAGCTCAAAACGGCGTAAAACTAAACTCACTCACTCACTCAACCCATGGTCAGAAGAGACGACGTATTGGATCGGGTGATCAGACACGTGTCAGCGTGTTCCGAGTGCCTTAACGTTGTATCCTTGTATTCTTGTATCATTGTATCGTCCTAACTCAGTTATATAGCATAAACAACCAAACAATAACTCAGTCCTACATGAAACAGAATGATCTTCCAATATTATAACAGGAGACCAATATGTAACTTGCGACCCAATGCCAATCAAACAGCGCCCTTTAGCTGGCTGATCGGAATACAATGCTCCTTAAATCAGTTCACGGGACACAATATAACAATTACTCACCATAAAACAAGTATTCAACATACGCTACAAACGTGAAAATCAACAAGAGCAGCTTAACGGGGAATAGTATGCAAAACACATATTGTCAGGAAAGCATCTACCAGTTTGAACGTTGGAATAGGAGTCAAATACGCTCCGCTACATTTGGTAGAAAGGTTGGATGTTGCAGTTTACTAGCATAGATAATTAGCTAAACAGGACACCATTTCACGAACACCCGGTGTCCCCAGAGATTTCTAGTGATTAAAAGCGTGTTCATATAATCAGGATGACATATTACTCCTGTTTGCGTTTAAGTTTTGGCCATGAATTGGAAACCGGACAGAGTACGAGCTGAAACCTGTACCAGTCAAATGGTTCTTAAAATCCGGACATTTTGTTCACTTGGTAAGTTCATGGTGACCCTTTTCTCATACTTAGCAGACCGCCTCCGTGGTGTAGTGGTTAGAGCGTCCGCCCGGAGAGCGGAATGTTCGATCCCCGACCCCGACCGCGTCATACCAAAAGACGTTAAAATATGGTACTTGTTGGTCCCTGCCTGGCGCTCAGCATTAATGGGTACAACAAGGACTGGTCGGCTCGGAGTCAGTATAATGTGTCTGAGTGGGGTATTCATGCTTCACTGCGGCATGGTATCTCAGTAGGCTAGCACTATAAAACCAGCTTAAGTCTGGGCTACTACAAGCAGCCGCACATACACATACACACGCATGCACGTCGTCATATGAGCGAAATATTGTCTAGCACGACGTAAAACCCAATTTCACCTCATAATTAGCATGGAATAAGTTATGAATGAATTCGATCAATATTCAGCTTAAGAGCTTTTCTCCTCTTTATTCTTATCTGGCACAGACAGTTTCCATGGAATCATGCAAGTTTTACATCATGACGTCATAACATTTCAAATGTCGATTTTGTGTCACATCTGTTTGAGCGTCCTGCGAACAATTTCCTATAACTTTTAAAGCAAATATTTTACGTCAGTTTCAAGTGATATATAACACCTCAAATGTAAATAACACTCCAAAATAAGCAAACGCATCACGTTTATCTTCTACAAATATATTGGATTACCATGGAAACGGGACAGAATGTACAGACAATTTAACGATGTTTCGGATAATTGTTCTACGCACATATATACTCAAGGAAATGAATAAGGGAACACATGCAAGTACAAGTGTTCCTTTATTCTTTGCCAGGTTTCTTCACAAGGTATGTATTGCACTGTGGGTGAAATTCTGGAAATAAATAAAGGAACACTTGTACTTTCATGTGTTCCCTTATTCGTTTCCATAAGTATATAAGGCTAATTATGTTAAATCCTTTATGTAAATTGCCATTGTTTTATATGCAGTGAAATGGTGAGTATGAAATGATAGTTAGAATGATGTAATATAACTTTTTGTGTAAAGAGATTGTCTTTCAGTATACTAATCCCATGTATAAAGAGTTGTCACGGTGTATTGTCTTCATGAATATAAAAGGATAGTCTTATCCATATGGGTATAAAGGATAGTCGGAAGGTGGTATTTCAGTATGTGAATAAATTGATAGTCTTATGTATAGTATTCGTATGTAAAGGGATAGTCGAAAGGATGTAATATCCTTCCGTGCCAAAAGGGATAGTCGGAATGGTGTAATTGCTTTATGAGCTTAAAGGGATAGTCGGAACGGTCTAATTAAATTATTATTACGGGCTTAAAGGGATAGTCGAAAGGGTGTAATATCTTTAGGTGCATAAAGGGATAGTTTAATATCCCTCTGAGTATATAAGGATAGTCGAAAGGGTGTAATTTCTTTAAGTGCATAAAGGGATAGTCGGAACAGCGTAAAACGTGTGTAAAGGATAGCACGGCATCCCTGGGTATATCCTAGTGCTTAAAGCGTTCGATCGTCACGCTGAAGACCCGGGTTCGATTCCCCACATGGGTACAATATGTGAAGCCCCTTTCTGGTGTCCCCCGCCGTGATATTGCTGGAATATTGCTAAAAGCGGCGTAAAACTAAACTCACTCACTATTACAAAGGGATAGTCGCAATGATATAATACCCATTCGTGTATCAACGGTCCCTCTAAAGCCGTGAAGAACAGGGTTTCATTGGAAGATTATTCCTGAGACATTATTTCATAAATAAAGGCTCAGCACAGTCGAGAAAGGTTAAACGGCCGCATTAAAATATTTATGATGATAATGTATATTGGTAAACCACAATCGGTTTTCTTTTGGTGCCATAAATATTCCCTTTCGCTAGGTCTTACAGTTCTAAACGTGAATACAAATCAGTTATCCTTCCAGTATGTATGCCGGCAATGGTCGAATCAATCTCCACGAGTATATGTTCTCAGACATTCACACGCTGTGATTGACATCAATCAACTGATATGAGTGAGTGAGTTTAGTTTTACGCCTTACTCAGCAATATTCCAGCTATACACACAAAGGGATAGTGTGTGTGTGTGTGTGTGTTTGAGAGAGAGAGAGGAAGAGAAAGAGTGAGAGAGAGAGATACGCATTATGCATTAATTTTATTAATTTTACATGTTTCCATCTTCTATTTTCATACAATAGTGTCACGTGACAGGTTATAATGTAGTGACGTCTTCGATACAGAAACCTGGTTCTACTGATGCAGTGCCACAAACGACAAAAAAGAACATGTCGTAAAACGAACCTATTTCGCTTTTTCTTTTGAAAGAAAAGGCTCTAAATACAATTCCATTTTCGATTCATGATTACTGGTTTCGGCTCTTCATGTCGACAATCGATTGACATAAAATATGGCGTTAAACCTGTTTCGGTAGCTAAAACTGCGCAGTGAACGCAAATATGCAAAACCAGACCGTCTCAAAGACTTGGTTCTCAAGGCAAAGCCTTTCCGAAAAGCAACGACTAACGCGTCCCTCTTGTCAGAACACATACAATGTACTCTAAGTTTTGTATACATGCAACAAACCAGCTGCTCTCAGCTGTATTTCATTGTTTGCTGTACAATAACCCTGTATTCGTCACATGTCAATCTGTGTTTCACACCCTTTTTTGAACTAAGCACCAATTCTTATCATTGTACTATTTCTTCAACTATGACGTTTCAGGCTAAGTACCTAAACACCACTCTGCCGCCACGGAGCAATCTTTAGTATTCTACCTAAAGGTCATTGTTTTACGTATACAAGTATGTGATATAAAATACTCACGTTTAAATGTAGTCCACGGTCCACGTAATTGTAAACTCTCCAAGTAGATTAATGGTAATACAACGTCGGGGATACTACCGAGTAACCCTCCTCCTGCGGCAGGCGAAGAACAACGCCTTCACCTACCCGGTAACCGGTAGAACGAATATCACATACGTATGGCGTCAGCACATCAAACATTTATCAGGAGATCGGTTTGCATTACCAGACAAATGCCACACAGGGTATTTTTAAATGATATGAACCTCGATTGCAGCAATACACTTTTGTACAGCATCTCGCAAAAAAATATCATTTAATATTCATTTCAGTTTCTTTCGTTCATAGTTATGCATCATTTGTCCTATCACAGAGCTGGTGATCTCTGCCTGATGTAGCTACAATAGTGTTAAAAGCATTGTAAATCCAATTTCACTTTTTCTGATACATTCATTTAAACGTACACAGGGGAAATGTATTATATAGATATCATACCACAGTGTGTGATATAACTGAGGTATCCTTTCGACCACATAGTGAAGTAATTGAGATATGCATCCAAGCACATTACACATTTGTGTGAAGTAACTGAGGTTTGCATCCAACCACACTAAACTGTTGTGTGAAATAACTGAGGTTTGCATCCGAGCACATTGGATCTCTGTGTGAATTTGGTGCATCCAAGCACCTTGGACTTTTGTGTGAAGTAACTGAGGTTTGCATCCAAGCACATTGGATCTCTGTTTGCATTTGGTGCATCCAAGCACCTTGGACTTTTGTGTGAAGTAACTGAGGTTTGCATCCAAGCACATTGGATCTCTGTGTGAATTGGGTGCATCCAAGCACCTTGGACTTTTGTGTGAAGTAACTGAGGCTCGCATCCAAGCACATTGGATCTCTGTGTGAATTGGGTGTATCCAAGCACCTTGGACTTTTGTGTGAAGTAACTGAGGCTTGCGTCCAAGCACATTGGATCTCTGTGTGAATTGGATGCATCCAAGCACCTTGGACTTTTGTGTGAAGTAACTGAGGTTTGCATCCAACCACACTAAACTATTGTGTGAAGTAGCTGGGGTATGCATCCAAGCACATTGTATGATTGGATAATTATACCATAACTGAATCAAAACACATTATGTGATCGTATTTTTGTCAATTACGTGAATGCTTAAAATGATTACCTACGAAGAAACGTAAATCGAGTGGCATCATCTTAGTACCAGGTTAATTTGTTTAAAAGTATTAAAGTTTGGTAAAACTGTGCTATGTTGAACTCTGTTCAGACATTTGATTAAACGGAACAACAGTGTGTCTCGGTGCAATGTTCGATCAGGTCGCACCCTGTTGTCAGCGGAAATCGAAGTTAGTTGTGTTTAATGAATCACTGTGACTTCACTTCATTGTGAATGATTCACCAGAGACTCGTAGCTTTACTGGTCTTGGTTAGTTAAGCGCAAAGATTTTACACTGCTATCCCCATTCCTTCCTTCCTTCCTTCATTCATTCATTCATTCATTCATTCATCGGTGATATGATTCTGCGTTTCCTATACATCTATCACGTAATTTTGTTTTATTATTCTAAAGACATTATAGTTGATAACGTATTTTTTTGTTCTATTATTTAAAATACATTATAGTCGATCATTAATATATGCATGCACACACGTTTACCAGTATATGCGTCTAGGTCGCTTGTACCAATCGTTCTATTTATATCGAAAGAGACAATTTAAAGAAACTAAACTCATAAATAATTCACTCGAGTTCCTAAAGGTACAACAGCACTGACGAACGTAGTCCCATCACTGCACAGTGCTATCAACACAAAACGTATACCTGCTTTTGTTAAATTCTCGTGTCCATGGTAACAACGCAAGAAGAAAGTGATATGCTCACATAAACATATTCAAATAAACTGCATGCATCAATAATAAAATCACGAAGACCGACCCTCCACGCTGAGGCGGGGTATGATCATCATTGCGGGTGGGATTGTCTGCAGGCATCAAGATCAATAATAGACGTTATACCGATGGTGATGGTTTACTGCAGAAATTCTGCATGATGTCTTAACTGATATGAAGCTAAACAGTGAGAGTTGGAGAGTGTTAATAGGGACATTATAGGGGCACTACATAGGGGTACTACTCCCTTTGCAGTTTGTGTGGCAGCCCGTCTATGATTTCAAAGAATCACTTTAAGGGGAAATGAAATTTACCTGAGCAGGCCCAATATGTCAACGTGCCAATTGCATTTTGAACTCCCTTAGGGGTAAGTTGTGAGGCACTTTTAACCTTACTGTCTAATTCTGTCGGGTACCCAGTATCAGCTAGGTGAGGGTAGATAACAGAGGTACTGTAGCTTTGTCACACAGTTTTTTTAGTTTCAGACACCTCGTTGAGGCAAAGCGAGGAGAGCTCTGCCAGCTTTCCAAACGAACATCCATTTCCGCTTTCTAACTTACTTTGCTAAGAAGTATCTCACGCCACACCTAGCAACATAATGGTCATATGATGTATGACAATCTGAGTTGCTTGCACTCCCAGTGGTTCAAAATACATGAATAGGAAAGACAAATTCAAGAAATAGTCAGCTTTTTTCAGACACGCGCGAATTATTTTCTTAGCGGGGAGGGGCACTAGGGGTAGGCTACACGAAGTGGTTAAAGAGCCAGCTCATCATGTCTAAAGTCCGGGCTCTCACATGGGTGCACGTGTAATGGGTGAAACCATTTCTGGCTCCCCAGTGAGTGAGTATGGTGTGACGCCGCTTTTAGCAATATGCCAGCAATGGAGGGCACCAGAAATGGGCTTCACACATTGTACCCATGTGGGGAATCGAGCCCGGGGCTTCGGCGTGACAAACGAACGCTTTAACAACTAGGCTACCCCGCCCCCTCTGGCGCCCAAAGTTTATTATGATGTCTAAAAGCGACGTAAATCTCAATTCACTCACTCGCTGTCCGGGACCCTCATCTGAATGCTGCGTGACCCCAATGCACATATTAGTGAGTGGATGAATTACATTTTATGCCGCATTTAGCAACTATTTCGACAACATCAAGATGGGAACACCGAGGATGATTTTCACGCATTCGGGGAAAAGAATCCGAATCTTTGGAGGAAAGAGTAATCGTGACATCAACAAGGCGTTTGGCTGTCATTATGATCAGGATATGTGGTCATATTGGCATAAGATGGTCCACGCAATTGGGATACGATGGCATGCACCAAGTAAGTCAGCGAACATAAAGTACCTATCCGATCCTATCCATGCCTCTTACGACAAGCATGTGTTGCTTCTAAATACTTTGCTAAAGATAATTTCTAAACCGGATCTTCACCTGTCATATCAAATAAATAAAGAAGTCAGTATACACAATAGCAAGCATATGTTCATGTTTCTGTGACTGTCTTCAATAAAACCAAATGTTTCATTCTCCATAACACAACGTCTTTTGCACCGGGTCATTTGTCCTAATTTAGTTTTAACAAATAATAGGACGAAACACATTCCAGTGATGTCGAAAATTCAAAAACCGAGCCATTCCTTTTTGGAAGGAAGCAAAATGAATACTAAGCATTGAAGTGTGTTGCCGACTGACTGAAGAGTAGGCTGATTGCGTTGACCCTATAACGCTCTAATTTTAACCTCGGCTCATTGAAGAGAACCCTGTAGAGTCGCTGCCCTAAGGCTGTGTCCTATTTCATTTCAAATTGCAGTATCGTGCCTCGTTAATTTAATATACCTAAAACACAACGCTGGATTGGTGGCGATTGGGCCGTAATTGTCGTTGGGTACAGATCCGCAGTTTCGATATTAACGAAGCAATCAACAAAGGAAGGTCGGTCGCGACTTAGCTTGCGTTTCGTCTCTCTTCTTAAACTACGACATTACAACACTATTGCTGTCGTTGGCAACTTCATTACAACCGCCCATGCAAACTCTCCTGCGTTAAGGCTAATAAATTAATAGAAACCGACCAATTAGGACGAGAGTTAATCTTGTTGTGTGTCATGTAGCAAATGCTATTGCACACCGAGACCAAGAGGTTTAGATCAAAGACTACGGAGGCTTGTTATACTGTTAAGGGCATATTGCCGAGCTGACAGAAAGGCATTGCGCCAATAAAGCTCTGTTGCTCATGTGATTTAGCGCCTGTCCGCTACGAGTTCAAGTAGCCCTTATAGTCGAAGATAAGTTCTTGGCGAGTCAATTTGGTATCTGAAAGAAGGACGCGAGTTGCTAAAGACCCTTGACAGCTTGCTGGATGCGGCGCGTGCAAGCCGAGAACAACCCACATGTCCTTCACAACATCCGGGTCATGTCGACTGAGGTTGAGAGAGTGGTCGGTTAATGGGAGTGAACGTTGTAACCGGAGTCTTAGCTTTGAAAGTGCAACACTGCAACGCTCTTGGTTTGATGTAAGGGTTCGCCCAGACCACTCTTCGGTCTGACAACAAAACTACGGAAAAACGCGTGAATGAATGAGCGGGCTTGGTAGAACGCCGCTTTGATCAGTGATGTCCTGGCGTGTTGGTGCGATGAACAGTTATGTCCTAGCGTGTTGGTGCGATGAACAGTTATGTCCTAGATTGTCGACGCTATGAACAGTTATGTCCTAGCGTATTGGTGCTATAAACAGCTATGTCCAAACATTTCGGCGCTATGAACAGTTATGTCCCAGGGTTTTCGGCGCTATGAAGAGTTATGCCCTAGGGTGTGGGCACTATGAACAGTTATGTCCTAGCATATGGCTGCTATGAACAGTTATGTCCTTAGGTATCGGCGCCATGAACAGTCATGTCCTACGGTAACGGCACTATGAACAGTTATGTCCTACGGTGTCGGCGCCATGAAGAGTTATGCCCTAGGGTGTGGGCACTATGAACAGTTATGTCCTAGCATATGGCTGCTATGAACAGTTATGTCCATAGGTATCGGCGCCATGAACAGTCATGTCCTACGGTGACGGCACTATGAACAGTTATGTCCTACGGTGTCAGCGCCATGAAGAGTTATGCCCTAGGGTGTGGGCACTATAAACAGTTATGTCCTAGCATATGGCCGCTATGAAAAGTTATGTCCTAAGGTATCGGCGCCATAACAGTCATGTCCTACGGTGTCGGC